TTGTATTTACATCCTGCCAAAAGAAAACAGTAGCCGCTGTAAACTCCTCATTTGCAGATACATTGGCTCATTGTGAGGTGTCTGAGAACAGCTATGGCGCTAAATGCGATATTTTAAGTGGGACTGCGTTCTGATTAGATCAAACACAAAGTGAAATATTTTTAGATTTTTTTTAATTTCATGATATAGCCCTGACAAAAGAGGGATCGGGTTTCAAAGTGTTTCGGAGTGTACATGTAGGAGGAATATTAGATCACTCTGGTGTCACACTGAGCAAGTCAGGGCTTCTGTGCACTAAACCTGTGGAGCTCTTTTATTACACTGACATGCTTTATTCAATTAGGAATTTACATAAATAAATTCTCATTTTCTGTGGGCCAATAATGCACACACCCCTGCAAACCAAAGTAAATATACAATTATTAACATATTAAATTCATTTTTCAAAGTATCTCTATTGTCATTTTCCCTTTTGTTCTCCACTGTACTGCTGTCTGCTTCATATTCTTCTGTTCTTTTCTTGTGTTTTAACTGGTCTAGCTCTAATTGCTTTATGGTTTCAAATTAAATGAATGCTCCGTTTTGTGCCTGTTAATCAAATACCATTATGTAAAAGCAGGCAGAAATAATTGAAAGAGTAACATACTGGGCAGGTGCTAGCGTGTCAGTAACCATGGCACCCAGTTTAAGAGCACAACACATCTGTGGCATCAAATAGCTTTTGCACACACAATGTTTTACGCACGCAAAGTTGAGCAAATAACAGTAACCCCCGTGACATGAAGGGCCTTTTGTGAGACAGAAGCCAGGTAACATCATCAGCGGTGTTCAGTTTAATGTTGCTGCCATGGATACTGGCAGCCCATCAATTCTTTATGACTGGAGTGCTAGTGATGGTAATCCTTTCTGGTTTCTCAGTTGGCAGATCAGGCTGGGGACAAAAAACAGCTGTTTAGGGCCTGTTTTTGTTTGCTTTGTTTCTGCGTTCTGAAAAGCTTGTGTAACCGCCTGAAAAAAACAGATCACTTTTAATTCTTTTCTGTGCATGGCAGCGGCGGCTCTGAGGCGCAGCTTCAGAACACAAACAGGCTAAACCAGACAAGCCGGATAATTAACAAACACAAACCTAATTGCTCATTTCTGACAGGGGCAAAAAGAAGAAGAAAACAACCTGGATGTGATTGCCCTCTTTGACATTATTGCTCATATAGTACAAGCAAGACTACCTCTGGGACTTGAGGTGCCATTGTGAATATGCAAAACACGGCAACAAAACCTATGAGGCAGGCTTGTTTCATGCCTCTTAAACCACTCGCACAGCACGACACTGTTTGCCAACACAGGTCTCTCTCGCTTTGTAAACACGAGAATATCCTTTTGCATCAGCCACCAAAAATCAATCTACATCTTTCTCAATTTAACACCTTTAGTCCACACGTCTCTCCTGGCAATTGATTATCAAAAGCTGCAGTGTTTACGCTGACACGGAGGGCTTGTGGGTGATGTATGGAACAGGAAGAACAGACAAAAAGGTACAAGAGAGAGACAGAAGGCCAAAACATATACAGGAAGCATTTTTCTTACCCAGCCTCCCACACTCCTCTCTCTTGGTGAAATATTTGAAGCCGTTGGCGGCACGGCGCTCAGCCTTCTCATGCTTCTTGATGTGCCACGGCAGCTTGGTGGTGATGTTAGTCACAAAGAAGCAGCCATGCCGCAGACAGTGATAGTGGCCCCTCATTCGGAACTCGCAGTGCTGCAGTGGAGACACGTTTTCAATTTCAGGAGTTAAATGTGGCAAATGTTTGAAAGTCAAGTTAATATTATTTGATCCTGTGTGCAACCTTAAAGTGAACTCTACACAGTTTCTCCAAAAACACAATCAACACCTCAGTCTTTTCCTTACTGGTCATTTGGAACATCACACATTTCTAAGTACAATTACTTTTCTTTCCAGGCTTCCCACAAACACCCCTCCCCTCTAACATGTCTGTACACCACCATCTGTTTGTGAGGCCCAGATCCCAAAGGACAGGGCCAAATAAGATCTGCTCAGTTCAGTAGATGGAGACTAAGGGGAGGAGGGGAGGAGAAAGAGGGAGGGAGGAGGGACTTTTTTTCTGAGATGGGTGATTTTCGACACATTAATGAATTCATTTAAATGGTTTTCCAAATATGGGCTCATGAGAGCAGGCAGGGGCTGCCATTTAGGTTTCATTTGCAAAGCATTCCCCTGATTTTTGCCCTATTCCAGACAGCCTTGTTTACTGTGCAAGTGACAATGATTTATTGGGTAATATCAGCTAAATTGGCCTTTTCTGAGAGGAGAATGCGGCAGTCAAAATGACATCATTGACATATAAACAGGCATTACTGGGATGAGTAGACTGTCTTTTTCGGCAGAGATGGAAGACAGGGAGCAGCGGTTGTGAAAGCCTTGAGTCAAATAACCTGAAATACTGGTCTAATAGATAGCATACTTCACACTTAGAAATCTCTGGGAGATGACAGTAGGTGATTCAGCTCTTGGCTACGTTATCGAGTCACACTCACCTGGTTGGGACAGAGACACTGGAGAGAGTAGTAGGAGAACTGGTCACGGACGTTGACCAGGTTGTTGTTGGGGTTGATGTGGTCCAAACAGTGGGATTCGGCTTTGCCGGAGGTCTTGCACACATACTTGCAGTTCCCAAACAAGCAGTGGAAATGGAACTTGTTTGAGTACTTACAGTCAGTGGCCAAACAGGGGTCGCTGAATGAATAACAAAGGAAAATACGGTTTAATCAACACTTGCCAAAAAAGAGGAAAACATACTGTACTGTATGCTGTCATGTCATAAGATACAAAGGTTCTTCATACTTTTCCTGGAATTGCAGGAAACCTGGTTTGACCTGTGGCTTAGCATTCTCCAGAGAGGTTGTGGCCAGAGGGGAGTTAGACGGCAGGTTGGGCATCGAGGCTGACATCTGAGGGATGCTGCCAGTCAGCTGCTTCCAGGCCAGCAAGGAGGAAGGAGGAGAGCTGTAGCCACCAGAGGAGGTGAGGTGTGCCACATCCATGGAGGCGTTGTTGGCCACTGATACCGGGGCAGCAGGCTGCAGCAGTGTTCCCTCACCGGAGTCCTTGCCCTCACCGAACTGAGGCTCCGGCTTCACTTTCAAGGTGGCTCGGAGGTGAAAGCTAAACAACAAGATGGAAAGCCATTTTTATGTGGATCAATAAAGCTGAAAAGTAAAATATAAAAAGTAAGGGTATATTTTCTGATTATAAACCAGAGTGACACTCACTTAGCATGTTTTATGGCCCCATCCACTGTGCTGAAGAGTGCACCACAGTCCTCTACCACACAGTGAAAGTGCACTTTCTGAAGGAAGTCACACTGAGCCTCACAGAAGTCGTCTGTGTCAAACCTTTACATAAACAAAAAGAAGACTGTAAATTTACTCCCTTCGCAGTTTAAAAACAAACAGCTAAAGACAAGTGGCTGAACCCTTCATCTGACAGTACATGCTTGTACATCCATTGTACTGTAAGTCATGTCATATTCCTGCAAGACAAAAAAGAAGATTCTTTCTGTTTCAGGGGGTTTCCAGCAGTACAGTATATGAGGAATAGTACTTTCAGAAAAAGGCCTTGTACGCTAGGTAAAGTACTTTTAAACACTGTGATGTTTTTCTCACTATCGAAATGAATGGGTTAAGTCTAACTAAATGAATCCGACTCCAGTGACTCTGTACTTCCTGTGTGTATATACCTGCGGAGGTATGTCCTCCAGATTTCAGTGGGTTTTTCTGGAAGAGGCCTCTTCAGCACTCTGTTCAGATACTGTCCTGCCTCCGAGGTGTCGCTGCCTTGGCCTGGCTCCAGCTCTGTCTTCAACTTCATGGCGTTGAACAGGGCAGGGTTCACTTGTGACATCTACAGAACCCAGAGCACATAAACCACCAGCCACTGGGTTAGCTGAGCATACGTATGCTGGGCCACTTGCATATGTTGGCGACAGTGCAAGAGTTAACACATACACAGTGATTTGGCGACGCAAAAAAGCACAGCCAGATTCACAAACATCCAGGCTTCTGCTTGAGTGCAGGCCAAGCATTCTCTGGGAACAACTGTTAACCCTTTTTATGTGATGTGATGGCTCGAGTGAAACCCCCAAAAGCTGACATGATACAAAGAGCTTTAGGACACACTCCTCCACTGCCTGGGTTTAATAACTGCTGTGAGGAGAGCAAATCTGAAGCTGAGCTCCCCCTGGAAGAGGTTAAAAAAACACTGTGTCTGTGTGCAGAGGTGAAGGGGAGGGAAAAAATAATGGAAGCTGATCTGTCATTACATCATCAATATAATGGAAACCACTTGGCACATTTGCATCACTCAGATAAGATATATGATAAAGACTATGTCCATTCCAATTTTCACAACAAAAAGCCCCATACATTTAAATTTCCGTATACTAACATTTACACTTGGTTAAAGAAAATGAGGGCAGTCCCTTCCTGTTTTTTTTTTTTCTTGCCTGACTTTTTAATCAAATAATTTATAATAACCCCATAAATAAAAGTAGAGTGAGGCGGGGAAAGAAAAAGTATAAAGGAGGAGAAAAAATGGACGGTGAGTTGAAAACAGCTCATCAAAAAACAAACATCTCTATATATCTGGCATGGCAGCTAGCTACTGCTTCATTATATTAATTCGTGAAAGGTGCGGTGAAAATTACACGGTATGAAAAATGGCTGGAAAATTTAAATGATACAAACTCATCTTATTAGCGGTGAAACATTAAAAAACAAACAGGCCCCTCTGTGTCCCACTCATTTTTCTTGGGATGAAAGGCGTTTGATGGATGGATCTTACCTTATTCATAAGCGAGGATAAAAGAGATGTATTCCCTGGTACAGGGTGTCCGTTTGATTCATTACTAGAACAAGGAAAATGAACAATGTTTAGTCAAGATTTGCATGAGAACTGTAAATATTACTATTTATCACACTAGGTGTGCCTGTATAATGAAGAAGAAAAATGCTGTCTTCTTAAGAAATAAGATCTACTGTGAGTGAGGGGAAATGGAGTTGAAGGTTTATGTAAACATCATTCTGAAACAAAAACTGAGAAATATGTTGAGGATTTTTTTTTTAATTGTATGCACATGTATATAAATGAGATATTTTGATATAAATAATTGTGGATAAGAATGTAGAAATCAATCAGAGAAACCTAATTCATTGTTGATGTATTTTGTGAATTATAGCCCTCTGTGTATCACGCAGCTGTGTACCTGTGGTCTTTCTTGCTCAGGTCCAGGCTGTGCTCCTGTGTGGAGTCTTGGGAGGCCCCAGAGTTGCCATCCACTGGCTCCTGCTTCACTTGAACCAGATTGAACTGGCTGGCTGAACCCGGCTGCCCATTCCCTGAGGATCAACCCAGAGATGCAGATGAGATTAGAGACAACAAAGTTATTGTTGGTCAGCATTATTACCCCATGATGAGATCCAATCTGACTTCTGTCCTGGCCTGAAAAGAATACTCCGAGTGATAATTATTGCAAAATTATGTCAGGCCATCAAGCCTTTTAAATGATGATTGAGAGGCGAGAGATATGAGGGAAAAAGACTCCTTTTTCTGCAGCACTTGTCACAACTCATTTGCCAGGCTGCCTCTTAACTAGTCATTAAGTGAGATGCTAATGCTGAGGGAAAGTGGCAGTCTCAGATTGGCCACCCCCCTCCCTACCCACCTTCACAGGCTCCGCGTTGGCTTGACAACGCACGGCAGCCAATGCTACTGAGCGTACCCACAAGGAACAGGGGTGCTATGTCGGTCAGATTGGAGCTGACAGCCAATCAGATTGGTTCAAATAGCGTGACCTCTCGATCACATTTTCCTCCAAATAGGTATTCAGTGGATGCTGTGAGCAAGGACAGGAGCGCCGAAATGAAATAAATAAAGACCGGGTGATGATGTGGGGTAAAAATGCTGACAGGAAGGTGAATTCTGCCCCACCCCCGATCCTCAAGGGACTGAAATATAAATATGTCCTGGGGCTATTCAGGGAGCACTGGGCTTTTGGTAGACAATGAGCGGGGTTTTATTAAATAAAAAAAAACTATATGAGCAGGAGGCATGAGGGCCCTGGTGTAGCCTCTCAGACACTGAAAGACACCAGAGGCTCTGATTGGTTTGGTGAGGAATCTGTTGTTCAGGAATCGAGGCTGGTGCTGAGGGGTTGTGACAGGCAAGGTCATGAGCAACCAAGTGTGTGCCCTTGGCCCTCAGCCTAGTGAGGCCCTTCTCCTTTTTCTCACTAGGGGAGAAAACAAGATCAGCCTACATAAGGGGGGAACTGACCAGAGTTCCCCCCAATACAAGATGACCCAGAGACATATCAGGCAGAACAGGAGTGGAAATGCCAGTCTTGGGCCTTGTCAATGTCAGTTCAGCTTGACAATGGCTGTGGCTGGGGCCGAGGTGGGGCTAAAGGAAAACACCAGTCAAACTATTCTGCATCACCGAATGCTTACAAAGTCTCCATTCCTTCCCTCCCCCTACTTGATAAGAGTACACCCAAAATTAGCTAGCCAGACAGATCCAGCCTTGTCACTGGCAATTAAATCAACTCTCAGACCAAATGAGAGTACATAATATCAAGAGCAGCCACTCACTAAAGTATATGATCTATACATGATCACCACTATATCAGAGGATAAGCTGACTGTTTAAGGTAGATTATAGTGCAACAGTCTCTTATTCTGTTGCACATCATGAAGTTATTTTTTCTAGCCATTTCCCAAAGAGGGAGAACAAATGAGTTTGACTCAAAGCAGCTTCTTTCTGGAAATTATCCAGGAATAATGTACCACCATGTAATTACTCCGGATAAGATACAGAGCTTGTGAAAGATCATTTGTACTGTGTGTCTAATTAGTAAACCCTTCAGATGTTTGAATCTCTGGGAAAAACACTTAGGGGTAAATTAGAGCGGAACACTAATAAAAAAAATAAACTGAAGGCAGAAACAGGAAAAATGCACAACTCACCACAGCAGTTGCAGTTTCACAACCCCATAAAAACATTAGTACTGTGAAAAACCTTCACAAACACTATGACTTTTCTCACACCTTTTTTGACAGCGAAGCACAAACCACATCCTCCTCATTTTAGCCCCAAATGTCCTGTTCACACATTTTAAATAGCAAATAAGAGAAACAAAACCACAGCTAACCCTTGTCCCTCCATCCTGCATCTGCAGTGAACTTTTATGATAAAGTATGCAATTGAGATGGGCCAACTTGTTTCAAGGCAGTTTTGTTGTGAGATCTGAGCGGCAGCCTCTCAATGAGTGAAAGAGAGGGGTGGGGAATGCACCATCTGTGGAAGCCCCACCTTCAGTGGGGGCCTTCCTAGTGATCAGACTACCTGCTGGAAGCCCAGAGGTGGAGCTCAGCCTGACAGCCTGGGCTCAGCTCAGCTCCCTGGAGCAGCTGCCCCAGCTCTCTCCCAAGGCCTGTCCTGCTCCAGGAACACCAACAGGAATTGTAATCCTTCCCAGTCCCAACATCCAGAGATGCTCCCCCTTGCAGCCACATTTACAATCCACAACCCACCTGCTCAGGCTCAGCACAGGAGGCCCCTCTGCTACCGAATGCAAGACTACTCTCTGCGGTGCATTATCAGTTTAATACTTCATTTTTATTTTCAGAAGTTTGGTTTAGAGCAATATGATAAACAGAGACAAGGCAATTACCTCCAAAATTTATGTGAATTGTGTTTATGCTAAATAGATAATGATGTGTATTTGTGGAAACAGAAGGTTTCTAGAAATTCAAAAAGTGTCTTTGCCGATGCATGCAAGTGTGTCTGAGTCCTTGTATCAGTGAAAAAAAAGCTGCTTTTTCAGCTCTGGTGCACTGAGTCATTTCTGCCTGAGTGATTTCTGTTTTTTTATCAGTTTGCATAGAGGAAACAAAAAAAAAACATTTTTTTTGTTCTCGCAATTTCTGAACTTAATTTCATTCCACCTCCATTTGCTTGGAACGGGCGCAGACATAGATAAGAGGCCAATGATGAGGAAACATGTTCGACACAAGCCCCAGGAGCCCCCACTCTGAACATCATAAGAGACTTTTACAGGCTGTACTCTCCCCTGTCAGCGCATTTATCTCCAAATGGATTGTGGGTATCTAACAAACGATCAACACAATAACAAGCCCAGAGTAGAGGACCATGCCTCCGGTATGTCCCTTTAAGCCTGAAAGCGTCGGTTTTTCTGCCTTTCTCTCCATGTGGGATAGTGATAAAAATGACCTCTGAGTGCACTCGCTTGGCTCTAGCTGTAGAGTGTCCACACACAGAAAGAAGGATGTGGCTTTCACTATACATGCAGTATATTCTGTGAAATATACTAAGTATAATCTGACACAGCTCAGAAGGTTATTTTTGACAAGTAGTTTAATACTTTTGTACTGAACAAGCACAGCTATACCATTCACTACCAATTTTCAATGCATTAAACTGGTTACAGCATCAATCAAGGGGAAAATTAATTATTAACAGAGCTGGGTTATCAATTAATTTGTTGTTTTTTGATTAATAGCTGTCTTTAAATTCATGTAAATAATTTTTTTTACACAGAAAATATTACAGCTTAATTTATGAGCTATATAAGTATTTCATTATCAAAATATTATGACTCACTGGGCAAAAATGATTATTATCTAAAGTATGTATAATAATGATGTATGTGAAATGACTGACCTGTGTCTGGGTTGTTGGAGGGCTTACAGCTGCCAGTCTGGCCATCATGGGTGATATCAGACCTTTGCTTGCTGAGATCTTCTCCATGATGGAGGAGGTCGCGAAGGAGGTCGGGGTAGATGCCATGGCTCCATCTGCCCCAGCTGTGGAGCAACCTTGTGTCAGTGAGTTGGTGGACATTGAGTGGGCCCCAGAGGATACAGCTGAAATCAGGCTAGCAGCTGGAGCAGGTGGTTGGAGGGGCAGCCTGGGCATGAGGGAGAAGAATGGGTTGGAAGCGCCCAGGGTGTTGTTGGAAAGAGCAAGGGCCACCGGCATGTTGCTGGGCAGGGCCTGGGACAGCAGGCTAGACATACGCTGGCCTGCACTGGACATTGAGGGTGTAGGCTTGAGGGCATGGCCTGATGTAGAGGAGGAGACCACTGTGGTGGGTGTGGCCAACAGGTGCGGTACAGTGGTGGACTGCTGGGTCGTAGGCGAGGCACTCAGGCTGGAGTTCTTGCTGCTGATGGCGGAGAAGTCTATCAGGTCATCGTTGCTCGATTCCTCTGGCTCGTCCTTTGGCACCAGGAAGGTGGAGGAGAGGCCCATAACACCAGAAGACCGAATATGCCGGCGCTCGTGTTTGCGCTTGTGGGAAGTCATCTGGCTGGTGGAGGTAAAGGTGAATCCGCAGCCTGAGCGGATGCAGTGGAAGTGGTTGGTGGCTTTGCTGTACACGCAGCCCTCGTACTTGCACTCCTCGTACTTGTAGAACTTCTTGAAGCCATCTTTGGCATAGGCATCATCCTTGATGTGGTAGCTCTTGTGCTTCTCAATGTCACACTTGTTCTTGAATGTGAATGTGCAGCCTGGGCGCCTGAGAAAAAAAATGGAGCATAAAGGGAAAACATGATTAGATAAGATGCTCTGTTACAAAGCCTCCTCAGTACCTCAGTACAGTTGGCAGCCATGGAGAGGGTTCACATGATTCAAACACTTCATAATGGAGGAATGCTAACTGAAGCATGTCCAGTGACACAGCAGCAGGTCATTGACACGTCGCCACCTGCAACCTTCACCAGAGAGACACATTCCATGGACTGAGGTTGATAAATCTACTATATGTCCATTGGCTCTGTGGTGCACGGTCTTCAAAATGAGAGCTTGATGCAAACTTATGAATCTCAGTATTGTTCCGAAAAACTAATAGGAAACTGTTGTTGTGTGCTGCCTATCATTTGCTTTTAAATAGTCTTTTTTTTCTGCTGCTAATATTTTGTCTCTTGTCTTTTATTTAAACTGCTATGTGTTCAAATGTACACCCCCAAATTAGTAAAAGTATGTAAAATCAACATTAAAACTGAAAATAATGATTTATAAATTATCTGTGTCCTGGATTACACTGAAAACACTACAGCAGCACATTATTAGATGTGATACCTCGTCAACTTTATTCTTTGTTCCAAATAAACACTCACTTCAATTGTGATCCTGCAACACATTTCAACAAAAGTTGGGACATTTGCATTTCAGGGCTAGTAAAGAGGTAAAACAATGAAATGATGATTCTATCTGAAACAGGTGATGTCAACAGGTGATTTCAATCATGATTTGGTACAAAAGTGGCATCCAAGAAAGGCTGAGCCCTTTAGGAGCAAAGATGGGCCGAGGACCGCCAGTTTGCCAACATACGTATGAGAAAAGCATTGAAATATTTAAAAACAATGTTCCTCAAAGAAAGTAGGAAGGGATTTGGATATGTCACCCTCTACGGTGCAGCATATCATTAAGAGATTCAAGGAATCTTGAGGGATTTCAGTGCATAAAGGACAAGGGCACAAGCCTAAGCTGGATGACCATATTGTCTGATCTCTCAGACGTCACTGCATCAAGAATCGTCACTCTTCTACAAGCAATATAACCACATGGGCTAAGGATTAGTTTGGCACACCTGTGTCAGGCAGTACAATGCGTAGTTACATCTATAGAAAGAATGAAAGAAATGCCGGTTAAAACTGTACTGTGCCAAAAGGAAGCCCTATGCCACCAGTGTCCAGAAGCACCATCGACTGCTCTGTGCTCAGATGCTACTGGGATGGACCATCACACAGTGGGAACGTGTACTATGGACAGATGAACCAGTGTTTCAGGTCTTTTTTTGGAAGGAATGGATGCTGTGTGTTCCAGAACAAAGATGACAAGGACCATCCACAGTGTTACCAGCAACAAGTCCAAAAGCCAGGCTCTGTCATGGAGTCATGTCATTGCCCTTGGCATAGGTAACTTACACTTATGTGATGGCTCCATTAATGCTGAAAAATATATAGCAATCAATGCTGCCTTCAAGACAACATCTCTACCGGGGGACACTCATGTATATTTTAACAATACAATGCAAAAACCTCATACTGCGCACGTTACCAAGGCCTGGCTGTGGAGGAAACGGGTGCCAGTGCTGGACTGGCCTGCCTGCAGTCCCGACCTGTCCCCAATAGAGAATGTCTGGCACATTTTGAAATGCAAATTGCGCCGTCGTAAATGCTTTACTGTCCCAATGTTATTTTGGAATGTATTGCAGGCGTCAGAGTTGGAGTGTTTATTTTGAAGAAAGAATAAAGTTTGATTTGATTTGATTTGATTTGATTTATTCCTTCAAGCATGTAAAAACAGTTGATATGACAACACACATACACATAATCCAATATCAATTTGCTTATACCTAGTACATGCTTGAATGGAGTAGGAAGAAGTCAGACTTATCCAGTCCTACCCCATGACATCATCTTACCATCATTGGTTTACAAGCAGTATCTCTACATAAATAATTCTCTTCTACACCACACAAGTAATATACTAAAAAAATTATAACAGAGTGTTAACATTCTTACATAATTACATTCTTAAATAATTATCTTCTACACCACACAAGTAACATACTAAAGAATTAATACAAGGTGTTAACATTCATACACCACACCCACAAT